GGGGCCGTTGGGGGGGGGCGGCACAGGAGGGTTGGGTCCCCCAGCCCCCACAGGGTACAGCCCCCCCCACAGCACATGGAATGTCCCCCACCATAGGGCCCCAGCCTCTATCCCTTACAGGGCCCAGCACCCCTGCCCAGGCTCCCAGGCACCCTGGAGGGCCACAGTCCACCCCGCCCAGAGTCCTAGCTCCCTCTGGAGGGCCCCAGCCCCCCCCGCCCAGGGTCCCAGGCACCCTGGAGGGCCACAGACCCCCACCCAGGGTCTCAGGTACCCTGGAGGGCCCCAGGCCCCCTGCCCAGTGCCCATAACTTACCTGCAGCAGCAGCAGTGGGAGTAGACCACTCTGAGCCATGGTGGCAGAACCCAGTGCAGCACACAGGGACTGCGTTCCAGACCCAGCCAGGTCCTGCTGTCCCTGGGGACCATCTGCTGCCTGGCTGGGCCAGCTCCTTGGTGTCAGGAGCCAGCACGGCACCTGGGGACCACGTGCCAGGCTCAGCTGGGTCCTGGGGCCTCTCTGCCACACAGCTGGGCCAGGCTATAGTGGCAGGACCCGGCAGGGCACGCAGGGACAGTGTGCTGTGCCTGCTGGGTCCTGCTAGCCCTGGGACTGCTCCTGCTGCCCAGCCGAGCTGACCAGGTGGCAGAAGTAGCCCCAGGGCCAGCAAGACTTGTCTGAGCATGGCACGCAGTCCCCATGCACTAGGCCAGGTCCTGCCACCAAGGGCCCAGCCCGGCCAGGCAGCCAAGAGGCCCCAGGGCCAGCAGGACCCAGCTGGGCACAGCCCACGGTCCCTGCACACCATGCTGGGTCCTGCCTCTGCTCCACTGTGCCTGCAGGGGGTTGGGGGTGGCATACGGCAGGACCAGGGCCAGCCTTGTGTGGCTCCCTAGTCTGGCTTTGCACCAGAGTGGGTCACATGGCTCCAGGAGGTACAGATCCTATGCATGTCTCCCGGAGCCCTGCAACCCTCTTCAGTGCAAAGCTGGATTAGCAAGCTGCACAGGGCTGGGCTGGGTCCATACCCCCCACAGTCCCGGGGACACCCCACATCCCCCTGCCACACCTCACCCACCCACACCCATGAACCCCCCTTCTTCCCCCACACACAAACTTACCTTGGACGCAGCCAGGGGCCGGAGGCAGCAGGAGAACAAAAGAGATGCTCTGGCTGACACCAGAGCATCTCTTTTGGAGGACTGACTCCCTGGCATGGTCTGGGACCATGCCTTGCTCTGCTCTTCTGCGGAGTGGTTTTTTTAGACTCCTGGATATGGGGTCTAATTTCTCCCTTTTTTTGAACCTTATTTTGTTCCTGCAAGTGCCTTTTGCCCCGCCTCAAAGGGGTTTGAGACAGGGCAAAAGGCACATGTGCACTCATCTGGATGCACCCTCTGGGTCCTACCCCGTAGCCAGCTTCCTACCCACCTAACTGTCTCACAGTTAAGCCCACAATTTTCTCATGAGAACATCATGGGATACCAGATCAAAAACTTTTTGGAAGTCAAGGTATACAGCGTCAACCTCCTCTCTCTTATAGATTAATCGATTCATAGATTGTAGAGTCAGAAGGGACCACAAAGGATCGTCGTGTCTGACCCCCTGCCCCTGGCAGGAAAGAGGACCGAGGTCAGATGACCCTAGCCAGGTGT